ACAAAGTAGTAATTCCTCTCTCCGCCCTCGCCGCCGCCGCCCTCCCACCCGCCGCCGCTGCCGCCTCCGTCGCCGCCACCCTCGCCGCCGCCGCCCGCCCCGCCGCCGCCCTCGCCCCCGCCGCCGTCCGGCATGCCGCCGCTCTCGCCCTCGCCTCCAGCCGCGCCGCCCCCGTCGCCGCCGCCCTCGCCGCCGCCGCCCTCGTCTCCACCCTCGCCGCCGCCGCCCTCGCCGCCGCCACCCTCGCCTCCGCCTCCGCTAGCTCCTTCACCGCTGCCCCCGCCTCCGTCACCACCGCCCCCTTCCCCACCACCATCGAAACCACCACCATCACAGCCGTTCCCTCCGCCCCCTTCGTCGCAGGCGCCCTAACCAGGGCCGGCGTCGTCTCCGCCCTTGGCGCCCCCCAAGCCGCCGGCACCATCGCAGCCCCCGACGCCGCCTCCGCCCTCACACCCGCCCTCGCCGCCTCCCCCGTCGCAGCCGCCCTCCCCACCGCCGCCCTCGTCTCCGCCCTCGCCTCCGCCGCCCTCCCACCCGCCGCCGCTGCCGCCTCCGTCGCCGCCACCCTCGCCGCCGCCGCCCGCCCCGCCGCCGCCCTCGCCCCCGCCGCCGTCCGGCATGCCGCCGCTCTCGCCCTCGCCTCCAGCCGCGCCGCCCCCGTCGCCGCCGCCCTCGCCGCCGCCGCCCTCGTCTCCACCCTCGCCGCCGCCGCCCTCGCCGCCGCCCTCGCCGCCGCCGCCCTCGTCACCGCCCTCGCCGCCCCCGCCCTCGCCGCCCCCCACGCCGCCGCCACCATCGCAGCCCCCGACGCCGCCTCCGCCCTCACCCCCGCCCTCGCCGCCTCCCCCGTCGGAGCCGCCCTCCCCACCGCCGCCCTCGTCTCCGCCCTCGCCGCCGCCGCCCTCCCACCCGCCGCCGCTGCCGCCTCCGTCGCCGCCACCCTCGCCGCCGCCGCCCGCCCCGCCGCCGCCCTCGCCCCCGCCGCCGTCCGGCATGCCGCCGCTCTCGCCCTCGCCTCCAGCCGCGCCGCCCCCGTCGCCGCCGCCCTCGCCGCCGCCGCCCTCGTCTCCACCCTCGCCGCCGCCGCCCTCGCCGCCGCCCTCGCCGCCGCCGCCCTCGTCACCGCCCTCGCCGCCCCCGCCCTCGCCGCCCCCCACGCCGCCGCCACCATCGCAGCCCCCGACGCCGCCTCCGCCCTCACCCCCGCCCTCGCCGCCTCCCCCGTTGGAGCCGCCCTCCCCACCGCCGCCCTCGTCTCCGCCCTCGCCGCCGCCGCCCTCCCACCCGCCGCCGCTGCCGCCTCCGTCGCCGCCACCCTCGCCGCCGCCGCCCGCCCCGCCGCCGCCCTCGCCCCCGCCGCCGTCCGGCATGCCGCCGCTCTCGCCCTCGCCTCCAGCCGCGCCGCCCCCGTCGCCGCCGCCCTCGCCGCCGCCGCCCTCGTCTCCACCCTCGCCGCCCCCGCCCTCGCCGCCACCCTCGCCGCCGCCGCCCTCGTCACCGCCCTCGCCGCCCCCGCCCTCGCCGCCCCCCACGCCGCCGCCACCATCGCAGCCCCCGAC